CTTTACCTTACCTTCGCCGCCGCTTCAGTCTCTCCATTATGCAAAAATAAACAGACCAGTTTGTCTTATTGTGGAAACACCGACGAGGTTTAAATTATTCAAACATATATATATTGTTTTTGTCTTTCTTTCCTTCTGGGAAATTGACAATAGGCTTTTCTGTTTTTTTGTTTTGTTTTTGTTTTTTTAGAAGCTTTAACAGTAGTCGTAGTAGTAATAACAAGAACAATAGCTATAATAATAATAATGTTAATGGTAATGGTGCTATAATAATAATGATAATAATGATAATAATAATAATAATAATAATAATAATAAAAACGACAGCAACAATAATCATAATGAAAAGGATAATATAATAATAATAATAATAATAATAATAATAATAATAATAATAATAATAATAACAACAATTATAATACCAGAAAAAAGACAGACCAAAGAAAAAAGAAAAAGAAAAAGAAAAAAGAAAACGAAAAAAGAAAAAGATGTTTCGGCAGCCGACACCCGACAACCTCTGTACTACACACTCGCTGGCACTCGGACGCCGATCCCGACTCCCGCCCTTATGACCCGACGACACAAGGGTCAGAATAGCGGCCGAGTCCCTGTCCCTCACCGCCCCGAGGCCATTGCGAAAGGAGAGAGGGAAAATTGGAATAAAGTTTTGTGATACAGAGAAATAACGGCGCCGATTTAATAAGTAAAGAGATGGATTGAAAGTTCACGTTGCGGCGGCTTGCTTTTTTACACGTGCGCGCATCGACCGGGCATTTTAAAAAAGGCAAGACAGAAAAAAAGGGGAAAAAAATAGTCGTGGGAGAGAGAGGTGGCAATGTCGGATGTGGGTTTTTTCTATTCTTCTTGTATTTTTTTATTGTTATCATACCTGTATTATTATTATGATCATTAGTACCATTATCATTATCATTATTATTATTACCATTATTATTATCATCGTCTTTATCATTACTATCATTATCATTATCATTAACATTAGCAGCAGTAGCAGTATACCATTCTCATAAACATTATCTATCATCTATCTATCATTATTCTATTTACAAAATCAATGCCGTCCTCAATAAATGCCTAAATATGATATTCGCGCTATTATCTCCCTCAGTAAAAACAGACGCGCACATATTTCCTAATAAAATATCAAAGAAAAAATTGCGTCCGGGATCTCACCGAGGGCGACCAACTATGCGGCTCAGATAACAACGTGCTTGCCAAAAAGGTAACAACAAAATTAATAAGACAATAATAGTAACAACTGCAACAAGAACAACAAGAAAAATAACAACAGTGATGTAGTTCAGGTCATTCTTCCTAATTCTTTGTCTTTCTCTTCTTTTATCCTATCCTTTTCCTATCTTCCTTTTCCACTTCCTCTATGTCCTCCTCTTTCCTCCTCTCTCTCTGTTTCCTCCTTTTATTTCCCTTTCTATTTTCGTCTCTTTCGCTCCTTCCTATTTCGTTCTCCTCCGTTTCCCCATTTCCTTCTCTCCCACGTCTTCCTAATCAACTTCAAATCTTCTTTCTCTTTCATTCCCTCTCCTTCCTACTTCCGTCTTTCTTCTTTTTTCACTCCATTTCACTTAACTCTTTTTCTTTTCCTGCCTCTCTCTCTCTCTCTCTCTCTCTCTCTCTCTCTCTTTCTCTCTCTCTCTCTCTCTCTCTCTCTCTCTCTCTCTCTCTCTCTCTCTCTCCTCTCTCCTCTCCTCTCTCTCTCCCTCTCCCTCTCCCTCTCCCTCTCCCTCTCCCTCTCCCTCTCCCTCTCCCTCTCCCTCTCCCTCTCTCCTTCTTCTTCTTCTTCACTCTTCCCACAATCTCTATCCACCTTCCCATCTCCCCCATTCTTCTCTCTAATCTCCCTCCATCTCCTTCTCCTTTACCCCTTTCACTTCCTCCTCTCACCCCCCCCCCACTACCTGACCCACCCCCCCCTCCCAGATCCCCCTACCTGATACCCCCCCCTCTTCTTCCTCCTCCTATGGCCCCCTACCTGACGCCCCCCCCCCCCCCCGCCGGCCGTGTACAGTGTCTCCCCGCCTGGTATAGCGATCAACCCCCATAAGAAGAGGTGTGTCTGTCTGTCTGTCTGTCTGTGTCTGAGTGTGTGTAGTCTATGGGACCGTGTTGTGGCCCTGGTTTCAATTTGGCTCTGCGTGTCTATCGTTGCTTTTATCTGTTTGTCTCTTTTTACTCTCTCTATCTCTATCTCTGTCTCCCCCTCTCTCTCTATCTTTCTCTTCCTTTCTTTCTTTCATTTTTTTCTTTTCTCAATGTCTGACTCATTCATTCACTCACTCACTCAGTCACTTACTCACTCACATACATACACGCGCGTGCTCATACACACAAAAACTCACATGAAAGTTCACATGATTACACACGTTTCCATATACTTCCTCTTCTCTCTCTCTCTCTCTCTCTCTCTCTCTCTCTCCCTCCCTCCCTCCCTCTCTCTCTCTCTCACACACACACACACACATAC